CTATACTAGTTTCAATCATTTCTAAATAAGCTTGTGTTGCCTAGCCTCCAACTTATTATTTGTCTTTTACTACAGCCTCCGAATTCCATCTTCCGGTTGGCATTCCTACAACTAACACATTCAACAAGTTTAAGTAAATTGCGTTAATTTATTTTAAAACGTGCAAATTTTTATGTTTATTTAAATATCGTCTTTAGCTACAGTTATAAAAATTAGCTACAATTTAAAAAAAATTATACAATTATTTCGCTGAGACAGGCGCTTACAAAAACGTTCGTTCGTTTCATTTCTCGACTTGTTGGTTTTCATGCTCAAAAAAGGTAGTTGATTGTTATCTATAATTTCCTTTTACGTTGTTTTATATCAGCGGATCATTTATGCGTGCAGGGCGTACTACATTTAAGTACATAGCACTGCACGTGCAGTTACATAATTTCAGAACTTGTTCTCATTCTAAGTAACGAAGGGCTTTTACCGTGACCCTTTCTAACCTATATCGCGAAGACTGATGACATGCATATCTTGTGAGGGTCGTTGCAATATTGTATTACGAAGAAGCCCCGTTATGTATTTGATAATCCCCGCTAATTTTACTTTCGCCTTGCAACACAATATGTCTATTGAAAACACAAACATCTTATAAGAAAAATTTAAAGATTTCCTGGATTTCTTAATAAGTTTTTAGTTTTGTTACCATCTGCATCTTATCAACTAGCCAAAATAACAAATTATCACTTACTGCATTAATATAATTCTTAGACTATATGATTATAGAGAAAGGGTATAAGATATGTTATAATGGGACCAAATAAAGAACTTGAACTTTCGAAGTCAATCATGGTATTCTTAACGGGATAGCGATCAGTTTTTGCTTCGTTAGTATGTCCTACTTAAATCAAACCTTGTACTTAAGACCAGTTTCCCAAGTTTATTACAGTTATGAAATAAAGTTGTATCAAAGATGTATCAAAATCGAATTGGTCCCCTCCGTGAACGTCTCGATTCATGATTCTGATTACCCATTATGTTAATATCTGTTTTAAGGATAATTTGACTTAACAACCCTTTCAAATTTGACGCAGATTGATATTTATGTGTATATTTAACACGTGTTAACACGCATTATTTACACATTGCTTTCCTAGCTCCACCGCTCTCAGAGAGGTTTACTCTCCATATTGCTTTGAATTGTCATTATTTTTTCCTGAAATGAAATGTATTTACTTATATATATTTAAAACCAAGAATTTAAAAAAAAAATACGCAGTTTCTATACCCAAAAGGACGGGTAATTGGTATGACTCGTAGAATTTTGTATACGAAGCGCATTTGACTGACGTTAAAACTTAAAACTACACACACCCTACAACATTTATATCGCATATTATATAATATAAAGTATATTTTGCTAAAATATTATATGAATTATGAAGTACAAATTACTCGCCTTAGATTCATGGTTTTGTAATTTCCAAGCTCTATTAAATTCACAAAGTTCCACGTGGGATGAAAAACCTGATATAGGTATAGGAATTCCGCTGTTAATACTGTTTAGAGGAAGTCATTACAACCGCTATTAATAATTATTATACATGCATATTATCATTATGGTAATCCATACCAAAGTATAGAAAGTAGACTTAAATTATTGCTGGACGAAAAATATTTTTGTAATTAGAAATAAAGTTCCAACCCGTGCGCACCACTTTTGTAAAAAAGTATCGAATCAAATATGCACACTTCCCAATGCCTGCCTATGTTAAGTTTTATAGCCTCTGAGTCTCTGCAAGTTGAAGTAACTCGCAAGAACTTTCTCCTATAAAATATGCTCCATTTAAGAAAGTTTTCTAATAAAATATTGTATTTTAGCGTCATAGCCTTACTCAGCAGTTAAGGAAATTTAAGGAACATTTTTGCATATTGAGATTGAAACTGCCATGGCGCAGCACTTGCTTTGTGTAGATTCCGACACGTGCGTTGGCCGTAAGTTGCACAGAAGCCTTTTTAGGTCTTTTGCTTAATCTCGTGGTAGGGGAAAGTTTCCCATACCACATCAAACCACAATACGTGCCGAGACCCATAATTTGATATAATTACAAAACATACAAATAATCGGTTCGATGATTCATTACTAAATAGATAGATTTTATTACCTCGTTAGTACACTGTTTTCTTGATCTGAAATGGTTTCGTCACTTTCAATATAACGTTACCAAATTTTTATCAAAATTGTCCACTTTGAAAACGGTCTATTAAATTTGTAGCATTTGTCGAAAATATTATTTAAATTAAATGAGTGCAATCGTGCATATTCATAATAATTGACAAAATTTAGACTGTTAGTCTTTATATATACAAAAGGAACCTATTTGGTGATAGTTTCGTATAAATTATAAAAAAACAAAACTCCAATTACATATATTAATAACAAGTGTTATATACAGAAGTTAAGGGTGAAAATGGTTGTGGCAGTTTAATGTTCTTTGAAAATGGAATGTGGATAATTCTTTGTTGAATTATTATCAAGGATTGCGTGTGAAAAATATCGCTGCGGACACGTTGTGGTAATTTATTTTTATGCATATTGTACACAATCGGTCTGTGCGAAAGTTGTGTGAGAATTTTTTAGTTTTCATTATAAAAATAACATGCTACTATTACTTTATTCTATGTCATCCTGTTAAAATCTGTAGCTATAAAGAAGTTTATGTTTGGTATTCTTAAATACTACTACTACTAGTAGCAGGAGGCCAACGAGTTCTACTTTCAAAAGAGAAATCAAATGACTTAAAAGATAACGTCCTTTAAAAAAGTTTTTTTTTTTGTTTTTTCTTAAACTTTTTAACTTTAATTATATGTACACATTTGAATATTGTTGTGACTATCACAATTAATGAAATAAATTCTCCTCGCTTTTTACGGTACACAACATATTTATGACCGTTATAATTAAGATAAACTCTACAGTCATTAAAGAATAAAGTCGCATGCGTGTAATGCAGAACGAAGAGCAATGTATGAACGAATACATCAAACAAAAGGGAAATAGTATATCTTATATAAAATAGTATAACTTAGCAAATTGCAGTATCTCTCGGCAAAATTCATGTAACATTTGCTTGCCTTGAATCTTGATAGCGTATTAGTCATGCCAACTTCAACTCTAGATGCCAGGATTTTGCTGCATTTCTTAGGAATTTAAAGGCATACAAAGAACAGGATACATATTTTAAGCCATCCATAAATATTATGCAGAGTTGTTTGTTCGAGTCGGAAGTTGTAAGGGTTGTATTATGGTTTTATAATCTAACTATGAAAACATAAAAAAACTAGCAATCATCATAGTCAAAACATTGAGTAACTAAAACTGTTAAATATATAGAAAAAAAAATATTTAAATCGAGGTCACGATATAATTAATGGAAAGTTAACGATATGTTTCCAACAGGGGTCGAAATAATTTTATGAGATTTTACGGAGTAATTATATAAAGTAATAAAACGTATGAAGAGCTTTGAAAGCGATATGGCAAAAAAA